CTGCAGCTGAATGCAGACAAGACAAAAGCCGTACTCCTTAGCTCCTGTCAACATCTTTGCTGCTGTGGATCTAAAGACTTCTCCTCCTGGGCTCTCCCTCAGACGCACCAAACCAGTGCACAATCTTGGTGTCTGGTTCGACCACCAGTTGTCCTTCCTCCCACACATTTAGTCCCTGATCAGGACGGCCTTCTTCCACCTCCGCCACATTGTCTGCCTCCAACTGTACCTTACCCCAAATGCAGCCGAAACCATTGTGCATGCGTTTGCCACTTCCCGCTTGGATTACTCAAACACACTCCTCGCCGATCTCCCCAGCTCCACTGTTCAAAAGATCCAGCTCATTCAGAACTCTGCCCCCCGCAAACTTACCCGGACCAAACTCCGTACCCACATCTCACCAGTTCTGGCCAGGCTCCACTGGCTCCCCATGACCAAAGGGATCGACTTCAAGATCCTCACACTTGTGCTCAAATCCCTTCACTCTCTGGCACCTCCCTACCTCTCCGACCTCCTCACTCCCCAATCCACCACCCGGCACCTCCACTCAACTGGCACCGGCCTCCTGCTCGTCCCTCGCACCCTCAGCCCACCATCGGAGGTCACGCATTCAGCCAGTACGCCCTGAAACTCTGGAACCCATTCTCTTAATCCCTCCACCTTACTCCCTCTCTCTCCTTTTTCAAGTCCTGCCTAAAAATCTTCCTCTTCGACCGTGCTTACGGCCACCTCTCCCGCCCCCAGCTTGGAGTCAGGCTCGGCCACTGCTAAGCGCTCTGAGACATTACCCTACATGGAAGGTATATAAATGCAAGTTGTTGTTGTTTTCCTTTTTTCCATGTATATCAGTTACCTCAACTTGGATGCACGGGGTATGGTATCAAGGTTTGTGGATGATACCAAGCTAGGAAGTATTGTGAATAATGATGAGGATGGCAAGAGACTGCAAGAGGATTTAAACAGAGTAGCACAATGGCAGATTGCAGATCAGTGGCAGATTAGGTTCAATGAAGAGAAATGTGAGATGATTCATTTTGGTAGAAAGAAATAGAAAATTGAGTACATATTGAATGTCAGTATCTTGCAAAGAACTGAGGAGCAGAGGGATTCCCGTGCAAGTACAGAGGTTATTGCAAGTGACAAAATCTGTAAAAAGAAGCTATTCATATGCTGGGTTTTATACACCACGCATAGAGTACAAAAGTAAAGCAATTATACTAAGTTTGTTTAAATCATTGGTTAGACCGCAACTGGAGTATAATAATAATCCTTGCATTTGATATAACGCTTTTCACATCTTCTAGACGTCTCAAAGCGCTTCACAGAATATGCTGTAAAGTGAATTGACTGTATATCTGTGGGCGAAATGCGGCAGCCAATTGCTCACAGCAGTGTTCCACAAACAGTCGTGGATTGAAAATGACCAATTTTATTATTATTCTGTTTTGGAAGGATTACTATTAGGCGTGTGGAGTAAGGAAACTTGCCCAAGGTTTCGCCCTGCCGAGAATTGAACCCAGGTGTCTCGCTTCCAAGGCGAGTGCTCTAACCACTGAGCTACAGGACTCCCAACACCCTGGTATAGCACCCAGGGTACCTCACTTCTGGGCTTTTCTGGGCACCTCACGTCAGGAAAGATGTTAGTTCCTTGAAGCGGGTATAGAGGAAGTTTTGGAGAGTGATTCTGGAGATGAATGGATACAGTTGTAAGGCTGGGTCTGTTTTCATTGGAGCAAAGACGGTTGAGGCATGTGCACAAAATTTTGATGGGTTCTGTTAGGGTAAATAGAGAGAAGTTATTTCCATTGAGCGGAATGTCAGTAGCTAGGGGATATAGTTATAAGGTAGGCACAAGAACAGCGAAAGGAGAACTTAGGAGGAATTTTTTACTAAGGGTTGTTGGGTTGTGGAAAAACCCTGTCAAGTAGGTGGATGGAGATTAAGTCAGTTGTAGCTTTCAAGTGGGGAGCAGACAGGCAAATGAAAGAGAGGGGCTTGAAGGGGTATGGGGGTAAGGTGGAGCAGTGTGATTGAAGCAATATCCTTGCTCTGTGAGCAGGTGTAGGCTTGATGGGCCAAAAGGCCTCCTTCTGTGCTGTAGATTTCTACATTTCTAGTAGTATACAACTCTCCTCTCTGTACCCAAAAGCAGATTAGCAAAGTGTTTCATTTCTGAATGTAAGAAAAATCTATAAGTGCGGCTGGGGCTCCTCCTTGTGACCCACAGGACATTGTGTGACTAGTTTCTGTCTGGGATGGAGATAGATTGATCTACACTGCAATGAAAGCAACAATGGTGGGACATTGTAAAGTTTGGCATGAAATTCTAAATGAAGGTTACAGCAATTCACAGCCATTCATGGGTCAGGCAATCCAGATTATAACAACTCTGCGAAAATAATGACTAACCTCCCCTTTTTTCTTCTGTTAAAAATCGTCAGTTACTTTAAATGTGGCCTACCGATGTCATACAAATTGAATATGATCCTCAGCCTTGTATTAAATGGTTTAGAATGCTGTGTGCTTTTTAATGGCTTGTCTACTTACACTTACACCTAGAAAGGCCTATTTCTATAGTTCTTTCCCCTCCTCCACTTCATTAAGAATGTTATCATTTTGGCTCTATTTCCTTTCTTTGTTCTTTCTATTTTTTCTATAATCACTTCCATTTGTCAGATATGCCCACTGTGCCAACTTGTTTGGCCTCCTGTACTCCCAAATTTTTTGCATCATAAACAAATTTAGACACCTTGCCCTCAATGCCTAAATACGGATCATTCATGCAGACATACACGCATTACATTTGAGATAATGCCTTTAATGTCGCTATCTCAAGGAGGAACCTCTCAAAGCACTTCACAGGTTATACTCTATAAAGTGGAATAACCTTCTTTTCGCGGAAAAACGCAGCAGCCAATTTGCATACTAAAATTGCCATGAAATGAGTGATCATATTGCAGACCTGAGAAGGACCACCGACTGCATCCTGATAGTCTGAAAAGCATCCCTTTACTCTCACTCTTTGCATCATGTCTTTCAACCACCTCATATGAATCAGGCAATGGAATATAGGATTTGAGCTGATTCTCTATTGTGGACTTGGTTCCTGAGCTTGGCAGTACTCCAAGGCTCATAGGCACTGTTGATGACAAACCAGTTGGTCTAGTTCATTACCCAGGAGGAGGAGAGCAAGGATTCTTCTCCCTCAGCTGTTTTTAACCTTGCAAACCAAACCCCTAATGGTAGGGTGGTCCTAACTGGATAAGCAATAAGAAGCTTGCCAAACGGCAAATTGGGTGGTTTCAGCAGTTTCAGCTCCAGCAGTACCTGACATTAAAAATCGGGGCTCCATAAACAGTGGCTATAGCCAAGTCGCGCACTATATATTCTGGTATCAGGTAAGCAGCGTGTGTTCCTCCAGGGAGAGAGTACGCACTCCATTTCCAATAAAGAAATTCCATCCAAATGTGGAACACTTGTTTGGTTTGGATACTCTTAAACATAACCCTGAGCAAAAAAAATTGTATCCAATCTGCATATTGACACCCTCATGCCTTCCCTCCCTCCTACCAGTTATCATTTTTGTGTTCTAGGTATTGTATAATATTGATCCTTTTTGAAGTTCAATTATTTTATTTAGCTTCAATATCTAAGAAGTTAATTTAAGTATCAGTTGTGTTTGGTGCACAAATGCTATCTGATTCTGTCACCAAAGGTAATGTACATTTTATCTCTGGAGTAAGGTGTTCAAACCAAGGATCGGTTAAAGTAAATGAATTTATTCTACATCTGCAGCAATAAACAATTTTTTTTATAACCTATACTAAAAGAAGCACATCTCATGTGGCTCTTTTGTCTCTGAGTGTTCAAGTCAAAGAATGTTACCCAAAGCCGATTGCTGTTCAATTCCTAACCAGCTCTACAGCTTATAAATTCCTCATGGTGTTGTCAATTTTCTTAAGACGTAAGATCATGCACAAGTTTGGAAAAATTCTTCTTAATTTGGAAACCAGCTTTCCGCAGGTCCTTTCAGAATTCTGGAAAACCAGCTTCCAAAGTAAGACCATGAGAACTTAAAGGCCTTGTACGTCTCTTACCTGGAAATATTCCCTTCAAACTATGTCTGATGTGTTGACAAACCCACCACCATGCTTAAGAATATCCAAACTAAACTGAGAATTCCATGCATCCCTACACATGGAAATTCCAGAGTTTCTATGGTAACACTATCTTAAAACCATGAACAGCATTGAGTCAAACTCTCATTCACAGTCTGACCTCTCCATTCATGGTCTCCTACACTGTTCCAATGATCCACAGCGAAAGCTTGAGGAACAGCATCTTATCCCAACATGCCCCAGTTCTGACGAAGGGTCGTAGACCCGAAATGTTGACTCACTTTCCTTTCTCCATAGATGTTGCCTGATCTGCTGAGTTTTTCCAGCTCTCTCTGTTTTTGTTTCATGAATAGCAGTATTGTTTTGGAATAAACCAACAAAATGCTTGAATTTATCAGAGAATGTTTCATCCACAAGTTCTGATTTTGTTCACTCGAATCATTTTCCTTATTAAAAGTCCCCTAACCTTCCCCATGGTATTTAAAATTGAACCGTGTTTTTGTTCAGGGCTGGGGGGGATGGGGGAAGCATTTTATCTACTAATGTCATCTGATGAAATTTATTAAGTAATTACTTCTATGTCTTCTTTTGTAGTCCTGATATGCTTTTTCTATTTCCTATTGAGAGTAACTGAGAAAAGATCTTTGAAATGCTATCCGATGTAAATCAAGGACTGAAATCATTTCTTGTGTGACATGTGCATGGTAATCGTTTAATATTTGCCCTTGGTAACAAACCAAACCAATTTCTATTGCTGAGGATATAAATCTGCGAAGGTTACAATTTAATGAAATGTGTAAAACCTTGTTCTGCTCAGCTGTAAAATTGGTATATGAATAATTTTTGCCTTCAGTCTGACTGCATGTTTTCTCTTCACCTTAGAATACAGAGATTTCAGTTTTTGAAGTGAATATCCGATTTGTTGGAGGCCTCCTATCTGCTTACTACCTCTCGGGCGAAGAGGTAAGTAATATTCTGATCATTATCGCAACGTTAAAAATCCTTACATTTTGTATAGCGCCTTTCATGTCAAGAGGGCATTTTAAGCACTTCACGGAATATACTGTAAAGTGTAGTGACTGTATTTGTATGCAAAAAAACTGTACCTACTATTCATGTGGCATGTGATCTGTGACTTTTGATAAGGTGACTGAAAGCAATCCAGTTGATTGTTCGCGCCTGGTTTTGATTGAGCTTTAACTTAGCTATTTCCATCAGCCATTTATTTCGGATAAATATCTTCTTTTTCCTGTGAGAGATTGTGCTGATTGCATCAGATTAGCATCTTTGACTGAAATGATGGTTGCTGTTATCCAATGAATCAGTCAAGGCCTACAGTGATAGTCTTCAAGTCAACTCAGCTGGCCTGTTCTCAGGTTACTTTAAGACCCATATTATTTGGTTTCCATAAAGCAGGAGTTAAAGTCAGTTTTCTTTACTATGTTGTGGTTTATTAAAAAAAAATGCTGTTAAGTTGCTAGGTGTAGAATTTGTGCCATGTGAACTGTTAACTATGTGAACTTGGGACGTCCTCCTGACGTGAAAGGCGCTATACAAATGTGTTGTTGTTGTTAACATCACTATTTATCTGTGATTAGCTAAGATCTGTAGTTGAGGGGGAAATCTACATGTCTTCCTGACTATATTTAAAATTAAGTTATCATTTCTTGGGTGTATCTGAATAAATGTCTTAAAAATCTTGGTCACACAGGTCTACAGTTTTAAATTCTGACAATTGCTATTTTCAGTTATGAATGAGTTAAAATATGTGCAAGAAAATTACTTTCTTGTCTGTTGTGATTGGGAGCACAGGCGGGTATAATACAGCACACTGCAAATCTGTTCAGGTTAGTTGAAGGTTGAGTTCCATACTGCTTATTAAGAAGGTTGAGCTGCAATTAGTTATCGCCCATAAATTTATAATAATGCTCAAGACAGCTCAGAATATCTTAATACCCATCTAAGAGCCCTTAAACAGCATTAATAAAGTGAATTCTAAGCCGATTTAAAGAAGCACTGTGCTTTGCATTTTTAACTAGGACATATGGTGCTTTCAACCACCTGGAGGGGAAAAAAAAGTTTTTTTCTAATGGTTAATTTGAGAGTTGTTGAAAGAAAGATCTAACCTAACCTGGTTGACGCTATCTGCAGTTAGCTGAACTGATATACTTGGGAGTTAGCCTATCATATGCCTCCCATCTTTCTTTCAGCATGTGTTGCTAAATTCACCAGAAATACTTGAAATTTATCACCAAGACAAGGAATTTGTGTCTGTTGTTGTCTTGGAATTATTAATAGTACTTTCACAAATTAACTCAATTGTCGGTCTGCTAAGCAGTCAATTTATTTTGAGTGTAATAAAACTAAATCTTGTGCAATTACTTTGCACTCTCTGTGGTGTGCATTGTTTCACGGGGCTTGGCAAAAGTTTGTCTTTCTCCTCGCCACAGTTAAGTAAAACGCTCACGAACAGATAAATTCATGAGAGCAGATCTCTGAAGCTAAGCAGTGAGAGTGATAAGACAATGCTATTACAATCTGTTGTCTCTGACAGTTTAAAGCTGTAGTGCCACATAATTGACTCTTCCCAGAAGGGAGATTATTACAGATCCGTGCCTTGTAAAAAATTGTCTTCTAAATTCTGTCTCTGGGTTTGCTTTTTTATGTGTGAGGCTCCATAGTGAGAAGAATATCGTATGCATCCTTAGTGTATTACTGCTGGTTTTGAACTATGGAATTAGTATGAACCAGCATGCTAAAGAGCAGATGTCAGCACTGTAAATATGTAAATTGCAGGGCTCTTACAGCGTATACCTCCCCTCCCCTCAAAACAAAACATTTCTGACAGGTGTATGATTGTTGGGCTTGTTTTTATCAGAATCTATTAAAGGTACGTTGCCCTATAGGTTAATGTCTTGTTCTCTTGATCAGGTTTTTTTAAATTGTTTATAAAAATTGGGATGTTTAAAATGCCTTTGCTGAATATAGCCAAACATTTCTTGTTTTTTTTATAAAAGGTATGTTTCAAAAAAATAATCACGCTTTGTACTGTGTATCGTCCAGCCGAGGAAGTTGAATTTCAAATTGGTTTCAAGTCTCTTAATATTGTCGTGCTGCTTTGTGTATTTTGTGGGTGAAGCAGACAAGTGGCAATAATAACAAATAATACTCCTTGTATTTTGATATAGTGCCTTATCACGTCATTGATGTCTCAAAGCATTTCACAGAATATACTGTAAAGTTGATTGACTATGTATTTGTGGAAGAAACGCAGTAGCTGGTTTGTGCACAGCAGTGTCCCACAAACAGCCATGGACTGAGTGACCAGTATTTATTTGGGACATTTTTTGGCCATTTGAAGTACTTCAGATGGATCTTTAATATCCACCTGAACAGGCAGATGGGACCTCGGTTTAATGTCTCATCTGAAAGATGGCACCTCCGACATTGCAACACACCTCCAGCACGGCATTGGAGTGTCATCTTACACAGTATATGATTCTAATAATAATAGTAATCCTTGAATTTGGTAGGGCGCCTTATCATGTTGTCAAGGCATCTCAAATGTATATAAGTGGAAGCCTGTTAAGCTGATTACATCGGGAACGACCATTTTGTCCGGTTTAAGAGGTGTCTGAGTTTAGCCAAAGGTCTCTTACATCTTCCTGCCCAGCAGAGGAGCAGTAGGGCATCCTCCCGCCCATTGCTGTTTCCATTGGATAGGAAAGGGACCAATAGCAGCAGCACTGAGGTGATTGACAGCCGCAGGCGATTGGTACCACTCATTCACAAGCGGCTCAGGTGTCAATCAATCGTGCTATTCCCTCCCTTGTTCTTCCCCGTTCCTCAGCCACCTCATTGATTGACAGTCCAACTCCAGTCGCTTGTGAATGTCTGGAATCTGCTTTCGATCAATCTTAGACTCTTCCCATCTCCATCCTGGAGCTGCTCGACACAAAGAAGGCCCGAGTGAGTATATTTGGTACATTCAGCAGCCACCAGTGCGGCATTTTGCCAGGATTAACTGGATTTCTATCTGAATCAACAGACATATTTAAAACAGGTAAGAATACAAATGAATCGGGGCCGGACGTTTTGTTTGATTTACCCGGGGTTCACCGGCATCCGCCTAAAGTGGATTCCATACATACGTGATTCCAAGTCTCGATATGGGGCTTGAACCCTCAACCCACAAACTTCTGATTCAAGGCGAGATTGTAAGGCAGGCTGACACACCTGGCTGGGATGGGAAAATGCACGGGAAGAGCCTGTGGTGACACCCGCCATTTTTTAAAAAAATCTCTTGTCCAAGGACATGCCGAGCCATCGATAAGCATTTCCCATAATGGCTTGTCTGAGATACGGAACCTGCTTGGTGAGGAATTACAGCTTCAAATCTGGACCCTACCAATCTAGTCAGAATGTTCATGCCTATGTGCTGCCACACCATTAACCCAGGTACATCATAAGCAACAATATTGTTGATTCAGACAGAAATCCGGTTAGCTCTGGCAAAATGCCGCACTAGTCGCTGCTGAATGGGGACACTCAGCAGGTCGGCAGCGTCTATGGAGAAAGGAAAGTGAGATAATGTTTCAGGTCAATGACCATTTCTCAGAACTCGTCATTGACCTGAAACATTAACTCACTTTCCTCTCTTCATAGATGCTGCCTGACCTGCTGAGTGTTCCCAGTGACTTCTGGTTTTATTTCAGATTTCCAGCATCTGCAGTATTTTGCCTTTTGTTTATGGTGAATCTTCTAATGTGTTTCATGCGTTATTCAATGGAATTTCTTTGGAACAACTAACCTGCACCTTTATTTTATTTTTGAGAAAATAGTTGAAAGAAAATTGACAGCACAAGCTTGAAATGTAACCTTGGCTCAAGCTCCACAAATGTTTCAATGCTAGGTTTAAAAAAAACATTTCCGAATATCTTAAGCTGACCTCGTCTAGTGCAGATGCTCTGAACTAAATCTGTTTATTTTTAAGTACTTCTTGTAGATCATACATAATGTGGAAAAGAATGACGATCACTGGGGTCTGATTTGATGTCTCGGGATTATGTTTTTTTGGGTGGGGGGTACATGTATGCCACTCCTTAGTGTCTTAATTAAAAAAAGTTAGGATATTAGCAAGAGTGTCAAGTTGTGTTTTTTCAAATGCGCTGAAGATTTAAATTTCCTGTTCACACCACAAAACATCACAAAATGCAGGCAACATGTGCAAACTGGATTAGTTGGTGATTCTTTTATTAAGGTTTCTGTTTGTCATTCTAATATTGCTTTTCCTTCTGGTCCTATTGCAGAAAAAGGTCCAGATGGTAATGTTAAGCTGTATTGAAGTGATGCATTGCATCAAGCAGCATCAGAATTAGCAGTCTGCAGTGAAGGAGTTTAACAAGAAAAACACTGAGAAGTTTCAATGTATTGATTTGTAGATTTGACACAAAATATCAAAATGGGAGATAATATGTGTGAGCCAACAGATATAATGTGGTGCTAATGGGTTTCCAGAATTATACTGAATGAATATAATGATTACAACAACCATTTTCCAAACTCAGTTCTGAGGGAATATTGGCATAATGAGAAATTGAATTTGAATGCTGGCATTAATCTAATTCTCATTTAACAATTTCTGCCTCTATAACTAAGTTTTAATAAGAAATTCAGTTGTATTGAAGCCTCATACTGGAATTCAAGTGCCTGAGAGGCAAAATGGAAATTGCATACGCATTGATCATTCAGAAGGTTACTATTAATTAGACCCTTAGGTCATTATTACTGCAGTGAAATTCTTTATCATTAACTTCTCACTGTTTTCTATGCTCTTCCCAGGATATCTTTCTGTATTTAAAACAAAAATAGGAATGTGATGGGTACAATTTGTGAATGTGTTTCGCTCACAAAAGAGTCACTGCACTTTACAGAATATTCTGTGAAGCGCTTTGAGATGTCTC